ATAGACATGAGATGCATAAGAAATCTTTAGACACACCCATAACAACAAAAGACAATACTTTATTGAACCTTTTCTAATAAGAAGTGTGTGCTGCAAATGCAAGCATTTTTGACGATCGTTTCTGTCCAGTCCGCTCATTTTATCGCATTTAGCCATAGCTGTCGTCGGTTTTTGTCTGGCAGTGGCAGCAGATATGCGATCAAATTTCTAATTTGAGGCTGTATTACGTCGATTCTGGCACCCAACATCACAACAAGATGATATTTTAAGCTCCTTATGTAGCCGAATCTGCGCTGGTTTGAATGGGCCGCCTCCAGTTTCCCCTTTGTTTTGCTGCCTCCAGCTAGCACTGTGACGTCGGCTGACCCTAGTTACCTGTGGTTGGCCTGGCCGTGCGTCACTCAGAAAACAACAGGCCAATCAGAAGAGAGGCTCATGAATATTAATTAGACAGGCCAAAATCGACCTGTTCTCAGCAGAGCTCCTGAGAAAGGAGCTGTAAAAATATATTGAGATGGTTTTTGGTACTTATACCGCAAATATATATTCTTAAGGACATCAAAACCTCAAATAAAACTCCAGAAAGGTGTAAAATATGTGACCTTTAAACATTAAATCCAATTCAGAACAGAACACTAAAACAAAGGTCAAGAAAGGTCAGAAATTCAATTCACATGTCTCACCTAGTCATATAAACTAATTATGAAATGACATAAAGTATGTGGATACTCCCTAAATAACAGGTAATTCCAATGAACAGTTTTGCCTATTCCAGTGATTTCAGTGAGACAAATATTAATGGCATTCTAGAGAATTCTGTGCTTCCAGCCTTGTTGCAAAAGTTTGAAGAGGGTGGTTTTATGTTCAAAAAGCATGAATCGCTCCCTATAAAAGGGTAAACTCTTCTGGGAAGGCCTTTAACTAAATCTTAAACATTGATTGAACAAGGAACATGCAAATTCAGGTATTTGCACCAATTCAGGCTCAAGAGCGTCAGTAAGGAGTCCTGGCTTGCAGTTGTGCAGGTGTGATCTGAAGAAGTGCATGCCAGTAATTTCCCCCACAACAGTCTCAATAACACATTACATGCAGAGTAGTATTACCATGCTGGAAGAGAAAAGGGCCTTTCTGCTTCAGCAATATTGAAAGCATAGAATTTTCTAGTATTACAGTATATACAGCATTAAAATTTGCCTTGACAGGAATAGGCAAACCTGTTTATTATAAGGGGGTGTGCATAATTGTGGCCACATACACATGTCAAGTCAAGTCAAGTCAAGTCACCTTTATTTATATCTAAAAACTTCCAAGTTAGTTTTTCTCCATTTGCACTCAAGACTACGAGTTTTTTTCTTGAGAGAATGGGTATTACTGTTGTACCATGGCGCAGTACGTGTGGCTCAGATTTAATACTACTCACCTTTCAAAGAACCAATAGTGAAGCATGACGGTTGAAATATAATGGTGTTGAGTTGCTTTCCAATGGCAGAGTTTGCCGGGACTCTGGGAATGAAATTTCTTTCAGTAATCCCAAACACAAGGTAAAATAAACACTGGTGTGGCTCAAGAACAGTGAAGGTGAATGTCTTACAAAAGCCCAGCCAAAACTTTTGTGAATCCACATGCAGCACTATATAAAGATGTAGGATTTGTAATTCATTGAAATGAGAAAATGAAATAAAGGTCTCCAAACAACACAACTTTATGACTTTTCAACTAATAAATGTTAAAAGGCATCCAGCAACCAGTTCATCTGGAAGCTCTGCTTTTATTGTAACTAATACACTGTAAAAAAAAAAAATATTTTGAAGTTGTAAATAAAAGAAAGATCACTGGAGTGTTTTATAAGAAAATAGTATTTCAGTTTTCTTACTTCAAAATGTCATGCTTAAATCAATGTGTTTCTTGCCATTCTTTGTAATTATTTCATTATTTTAAAACTGTTTTAGTTGTAGTAATGTGCTAAGTTGAATTTAACCTTAACCAATATGTCAAAATTGTATAGAGAAGATATAAATAATAGAAGGATGACAGAAATGATGAATAAATATCATTATTTACATTCAATTACAGATTAAAGTCTTTTTTAATACAAAACTATGGGACATACGCTGCTGTAAAAGATACATCAAACACAAACTCCTCATTTAGAATCTGTTTGAACCTCAGTCAATGTGAATACTTTAAAATATAGGCACAATACATTACGTTAAACTGTAAAAGCAGATTTCGTGTTGACATCTGTAGTCAAATTTACAGCCATGGCAAATGGATTATGTAATAGCATGTAGAGAAAAGCCAGCTAATTTGAGAGCAATGGGAGTGAACCATTTTGTGACATTCTAACATTCAGGACTATTTAAAAAGATAAAAATATAGATTTTCCAGCCATTTTGGGCAGCTCATGCCCCAAAGCAGAAAGGTGGAAAGTACAGGCATAGGGTGAATTAAAATCAACTGACTGGTCAAATGTTATTCTGAGGAGGAACAGCCTTCATCATAATGCAATTTGAGACTAAATGAGGCCATGTGAATTCAAACATCACGAGTGTGACAAACAGCCCCTACATAAAACGCTCTGCAATGGTTTTCTTATGTTCCGCATTTCTCAAGTAAATTATCTAAACACATTTTCATGCCTTCAGAGGAAAGGTTTGACTTTCAAGAAAGTAGGATAATTAAAATTTATAAAACAACCTTTTGTTTATTACATAACAAACGGTAAATGTCTATGATGTACTTTTCTATACAGCAAAT